AATCTGTGAAGTGTGGGCTTTGTTCTGAGCCGTGGCTAGCTGTGTTTTGATGGATTATAATCGTTAAAATATGACAAAATATGAATCGTATGCCTGGCACAGCACCCCCTAGGTGATCCGAGATGGTGCTCTTTTGTACTTTATTGCTTTTGCTGTGTTTATTGTGTGGTGGTTTATATGACGTTGTAGCCGAGGTTTCGCTGAACATTTTGATGTATACATTGTTGGGGGTCGGCTATCACAACTCGCCTGGATTCCTGTATTTTCCGTTAAGCCCGAGCGGACCCTAATTAGGGTCCGTTAGGGATGATAGTCAAATTGTTATAAAGCACTTAATTTATTATTATTATTATTTATCTAAACCATTGTACTGCAGTCTGGGTCCTCCTTCTTTCTCTCGTCCCCTGGCTCGAGAGAAATCCTAACAAGCAGTGATTTGCGCGTTTGATTTGTCTTTAAAAATGTCCACAAGAGAAGTACTCTGCTTTGTGTGTGTGTGTGTGTGTTTTTTTTTTTTTAAAAAAAACTATTGGAAAATTACAGTGAAAGTTTAAAAAGTATGTGTAAAATGTGGGAAACGGTTCAAAATTTTATAGGAAAGCACCACCCGAATAAGGCAGTAGCAGTGCCAACGATAAATCTGTAACAACAATGCAATGTCATATTTCCGCCAAAGTGTCATTGGATAGGTTCCTTGTTAAAGTCGCACAAAAAGAAAAAGATTTCAGCGAGCCAACAGATAGCTCCTCTCTGTCTCTCTCATGCTAGTCAGGATTCTTTTCAGAGATAAAGTGCAGGTTAATTTGTTTTTATTTTGTATTACTGTAGTAAGTTTTATATGAATAAGTGGTTGTGGAACGAATCTGAGTTTCCTTTGTTTCTTATGGGGAAATTCGCTTTGATATACGAGTGCTTTGGATTACGAGCACGTTGCCAGAATGAATTAAACTGGCAATCCAAGGTTTTACTGTACAGTCCTAGAAACAAACCCAAGCTTCTGTTGGTTCATTAACAAAAAAAAAAATCACGTAATTTTCCATATTAACTGACTTGAAACTGGATTAAACTAAATGTTTTAAATATGTTTTTAAAGTACAAGGATAAGCACAGCTGGAGCCTCTGCCACAAAAACGTGTGTAAATAGACAAGAGGGAGAAATTCAGCTGGAAGGCAACATGAGCCTCACTTTATTTTCCTTATGTTAAACTGATGCATAGCGATAAATGAAAATTTGAAAACATTTTTCAAATCCACCATTCTGTTTTTTTAAGGGGCATGGATTTTAACAGTCGGGTTTGTGATTCAGCTTCTTGTTTTCAGGGTTGTATGTGGCCTTAGCAAAGCACTCAGCTGCCGCCCGATCACACTCGCACACAGCAGCCTGGCACCTATTGTTGGTAGCTGGAGAGACAGTTGAGTCAGTGAGTGAGTAGCTGCTGAATAATAAAACATGGATCACACTTAAAACATAATGCTAATAGTCTGGTTGTGTACTTATCACTTAGGGCTTTGTAGTGTGGGTAACAAATCTCAGTCCTTGACTGTGTCATTCCTACTGTGTGTGTGTGTGTGTGTGTGTGTGTGTGTATATACACATATATGTATATTGGTTTGAACACAGCTGCTACTTACTTTATAGCATATCTATGCACTAGGTTACAAGTACAGTCTTAAATTTATTGTCAATAGTCAAGTGACACTCTGCTATTCACTGAATGCTATCAGTGTTGTTCTGTTAATCAGCCAAAAAAAGTTTTTATATAAACACTCAGGTAAATACTGTGTTTATAAACACACACTTGTGTTCATTCCCTTCCAAAAAGCAGGATTCAAAATTTTATGAGATGTTGTGTAATTTTGACCAGTATCATCTCAGAACATTTCCAGTTTAGGTCTTAGAATTTCATCAAGGCATAGCTTCACAGTCATTCAGAATGGTAAGAAACTGATGTCTATGTATACGAGTGTGTCAAAGCGCCTCTAGTTTATCCCAGTCACAGTCTTACCTGAGCAGGTCACTTGCTGATTTGAACAGGTGTAACCATAAACCAGGATGTAGGGATGTTGCATAAGGGAGTCACATCCAGACACATTTCTGTTTGTGTCATAGCACTTATCATGAACTTGACAGCACCTGAGAATACAGGGGAAACAGTTCATATCCCAGGCTTATTTTAGAAATGGCTTGGAACCAAAACTGCAGAATTGCCTGCTTCCTACTTGTCCACTTCATCCCGAGGAGTCCCCCTCCCTCCGACGCCACACCAGCAGCCGTAATTGTTGTAGTCTAGAGCGTTAACACCAGGCTGGACACATTCGATCAGCTTCACAAGCTGCCACAAGGCACCGCTGGCCATATGAGCTGATAAAGATATGCAAGGTAGATAAACAGAAAATGAGTGGCTCAGGAGAAAATAAGTACTTCTAATGCGAAAGATAGAACAATGATTGAGAGAACTTCACAAGGAGTATTTAAACAGATGCACATTTTACAATAAGTCTTGTAAAAGATTGATACATATTGATGGTTTCTACAGTCTTACCAGTGAGAAGCAGCACCAGAGCAGCTGCCAGATTCATGGCTACAATCAGAAGAACCTGAAATTTGGCTGAAGCCTGCTTTTATAGAACAGGAGGTGT